CTTTTTATTTATTAACTCTTTTGGAATGCTTCTTCTCGCGCTATATGTAAGTCAAGGATATCAAATATACTTATATCGTACACATGTTAGTTTTACTTTCATTGGAAATACAGACTTACATAAATACAGAAATGGAAGTACATTTTTATGGCTGAAATTTGATTAAAGTTAGAAAAATTAATTCTATGCTCAATAATCAAATAATTCAGTGAGGAACTGGCACGCAACCTGAAAATAATATTCTTCGTTGTAAACCATTGAATTGATCTCACTCAAAGAGGCATACAGATAGTACTGAATGAGGGATTTAACACAGGGTGTGATTTTGTTTGCTCGATGTATTCAAGTTAGCTAGGAAGATTGTCCATTTAGGCCAATATCAAAAAAGGAAGATTTTCATTTGCTTAGCCTATTAGTTCAAATTCCAAACGAAGTTCATTGCAATGATCATCACTGCTGAAGCAATGTGACTTTTTATAAATGCCCTTGGATGCATATATTATAATATAGTCTTAGCTACCTTATCTGGAAATGAGAAATGAAGACACCAAACAAAGAAGTATGAAAGGGGCATGATATGAGGTCAAAAGAACTAGCATAATCTTTCATAAGAGTTTTGGCCTACGTAATTGCCTTTACTCAACACGGAGACCATTTTCAATTGTATGCTCAGCCTAAACCTTTTACCTAAATATGTGGACCTCTATGATAGCAATAATTCTGAGGGTAAGCTTGATGAGCGGTGTGATGCAGAAAAGTCAGTGCGAAAGTAAAAACGGATGCATTAATGGGTACTTTCTTCATCAGGCACAGCCGTGATGCTCTGATGATACCTTAATTAATCTATACAAAGAATGGAGGTGGTCATCCCTCAAAGGGAAATATATACTTGATATTCTCGAAACCGACTTTTACCAAAAATAAAATCTTGAGTTTATTATCTATGGTATATTGTCTAAATTAATCTTTCGTATATATAATATTGGCCTAATTCGCATACACATTAACTTAAGATTGAAGTTACCACCTGGATACATTGTTCTGTTCTAAGGCAAGGGGTTGATAATTAAAATTGGACTTAAATGGAAAGATAGTATTAGCAAATTATTAATAATCTGAATACACATGGTTCGATTGCCGATATATTACCAGTCCTACTTTATACTTTACATTTTCGTTCATTTTTTTCCCTTTCATTTTCAAAGTTATCATAACTTTTGCCTATTATTTTGTTTTCACTCTTCTCTTTATGCACTGCGTAGGACCTAGAGTCAAAATCGCAGTCACTGCAGTTGACCGTTGATCGTCTGTCAAGTTGTCTGGCCAAGACTGAGGAAGAGGAGAGTGGCGCGAAGGACCGCGTGCAGCAGCTAACCGCCAGTCTGGGTGAGCATACGCAGACTATTGAAGAGTTACGCGGGCGACTGTCTCAACTACAAAAGTCATTAACCGTTTCTGAACAAGAAAAGCGTATTATCCAGGTAGCTTTTTTGATTTGTGCATAAAGCTGGGACTAGTTTTGCCTATTAGAATTGACTAAATTCTCAATCGAATTTAGCCAAGGTCTTTTCGAATTTTATATATGCGATGGGGCTCAGCTATTTTATGTATTTTGCATTATTTGGGCTTGAT